TGGGGAAATTTGGGAAAATGGATGAAATTTTTTTTTTTTTTTTTTTTTTTTTTTTTTGGGGTTTTTTTTGGGTTTTATTTTGGGATTTTTTTTGGGGATTTTTTTTGGGGATTTTTTTTGTATTTTTTTTAATTTCTGGGGGAATTTTTCAAGTTTTATTTTTTGTTTTCCCAGCGTTGGATCCGAGACTTTTTTTGGTAAAAAAAAACAAAAAAAAAAGGACAAAACAACAACAAAAAAAAAGGGAAAAAAAGAAGAAAATCCGGGAATTTTTTGTTTGGGAATCCCTCGGGACCCTGGGGTTCCCAAAAAAACCAAAAAACGCCGGAATTCTTCGGCACGCCGAGGATTTGTTATAAAAATTGTGAATTTCGCAGTTTTCGGTGGCTTTTTGGGGAAGTTTGGGGAATTTTGGGGGATTTGGGGAGGGGGGTCCAGGGGGTCCTTAAAGGGAAAAGGGAAATTGGGGAAAAGGGGACCCCAAGGGTGGCACAGGGACCCCAGAGGTGGCACAGGGACCTCAAGGGTGGCACAGGGACCCCAAAGGTGGCATGGGGACCCCAAGGGTGGCACGGGGACCCCAAGGGTGGCACAGGGACCCCAAAGGTGACAGAGGGACCCCCGGAATTCCACTGGGGGGGTTTATTTTGTGTCCCCTCCCCCAAGTCCTGTGCCAACCTCCTGACCCCGGGGTTGGGGTACTTGGGGGACTCTGGGGACCCTCAGAAGGACCCCAAGGGTGGCACAGGGACCCCAGAGGTGGCACAGGGACCCCAAAGGTGGCACAGGGACCCCAAGGGTGGCACAGGGACCTCAAGGGTGGCACAGGGACCCCAAGGGTGGCACAGGGACCCCAAAGGTGACACGGGGACCTGAAAGGTGGCACAGGGACCCCAAGGGTGACACGGGGACCCCAAGGGTGGCACAGGGGACAATCAGAGATGTCACCGTGATGTTTTATTGCCCACGTCCTGTGCCAACCTCCTGACCCCGGGGTTGGGGTACTCGGGGCTCTCGATCACCCCGGGCCCGAATTTGAGCTCCAGGAACCCTCGGGGGTCGTTGGGCGCTTTGGCCGCCACCCCCGCGAACGTCACGGTGCCCAGGGGCACCAGGAAGGACTCGGGGAACTCCACGTCCTGCCGGTGACCCAACCACGTGTCCTTGGTCATCACGGCCGCGGCGCCGCCGGGCCGGACGTAGAACGGCCACAGATCCACGTGCAGCCGGTTGGAACGGCTGAAATGAACTCGGTAAAACTCCCCCTCGGTGGCTTTCTCCCAAAAAAAACCTTGAGGGTCCTCCACCGGCCGGCCCGTGGCCGCCACCGCCGCCAGCCAGCGGCACTTGGGGACGTCGTCGCGGTAAATCCCCACGTCCACGTCGTAGTCCCAGGGGATGATGTCCCCGAGGCGGACGGCGCCCAGGAGGGTCCCTCCCTCCAGCCAGTGCCGCACTCCGGCCGCTTCCAGCTGGGCCAGCACGTGGCGGGCGGTGGCACGCAGCGCCCGCAGGCAGCACGGCGGCGTCCAGCGCCCGGCCAGCAGGTACTCGGGGGTCTGGCGCAGCACCGTGCCGAAACAGCGCGGCGTGTCCTTGGCGCAGCCGTGCCAGCGCCGCGAGCCGTCCGGCAGCACCTCCAGCTTGATGCCGAAGAGATCCAGCAGCGTCCGGCGTTGAGATTCCAGCGCGGTTTGGGCTCTCCGCTGGTCGTGCGGCGACGGAGGCGGCCGCGGCGCCAGAGGGAAGGAGGCCGGCAGCAGGAGGAGGCGCCAGCCGCGAGCGGCGGCCTGGAGGGACAGCGAGGTGACCACGGGACGGGTCAGCGGGAAGGGCAGGGAGAAGAGGTCGCGTGTCCGGAGGAGGAGAACGGCCGGGGCTCCGTCCAGAGCGCCGCAGCGGTCACCGTGATTGTCACCATGCTGGTCACCGTGATTGTCACCACGCTGGTCACCGTGATTGTCACCATGCTGGTCACCGTGATTGTCACCACGCTGGTCACTCCGTCGGTCAGCGTGGCCGTAGCGCGCCGTCCACGCCTTGATGTCCACCTCCAAGCTCAAACACCGCGGCCGCCGCCGCCCCACGGCCGCCGCCACCACTTTGACGCCGCCGTCCTCGACGGCTTCCAGGACGTCCCTCATGCGCCGCAGCAGCCCGGGCGCCGCGCGGGCGCCGTCCGGCACCAAAGCCACGTGGCGAGTCCGTACGGCCAGCTCCGGCCGCGGCGGCGGCCGGTGAGGCTCCGGACGCAGCGACAGCACGGCGACGCCGGCGGGCAGCGGTACCGGTGGGTACGGGGACGTCTCGGCGGCCACCAGCACCGGGACGCCCGGCAGGGCGGCGAAGGAACGGGCGGTGGCGGCCACGTCGTGGTCGGGGCCGTCGAAGTCGCGGAGGATGACGGTGACACCGGGGACGCCGTCGGGGACGCGCCGGGAGCGGCGGCACGCCGGGGACGCGCCGGGGAGGAGGCGCGAGCAGAGAAGGAGGAGGAGGTTGAGAGCGATGGCGGCGGCCAGGGCGGCTTGGCAGGGGGTGATTCTCATGGTGCGGGTTGGTTAATTAATGGGTTGGGTGGTTAATTAGTTCATGGGTGGGGTAATTTGTTGATTTGGAGTCAAGTAATTGGTGGGGATAGCAATTGGGTTGGGTGGTGGTGATACCAGCGGTGACCACGCGGTGGCGCTGTGGAGGTGGGGGTGTTAATGAGTTGTTAATGAGGGGTTGTAATTAAAAAAATGCCCTGCGATCTTCCAAGCATCCCCCCGAAAAATCCTAAACCCCCCCAAAATCTCCTCTAATCCATCAAAGAACCCTAAAACTCCCAAAATTCTCTATAAACACACAATGACCACCCCGGAAAATCTTCTGAACTGCCCAAAATCCTCTCTAGCCTTACAAAGACCCCCCAAAAAACCCAAAAAATCCCCTATAAACCCCCAAAATGCCCCAGAATCCCAAAAATCCCCTCTAACCTTCCAAAGACACCCCCCAAAAACCCCAAAAATCCCCTAGAATTCCCCCGAAATTCCCTATAACCACCCAAAAATCCTCTACAATCCCCCGAAGGCCACCCCAAAAAATCCTAAAACCCTCCAAAAACCCCCAAATCCCCTCTAACTCCCCAAAGACCCTCTCAAAAAATCCTGAAACCCCCCCAAAATCTCCCAGAACCCCCCCAAAAAATCGTAAAATTCCCCAAAATTCCGCTACAGCCCCCCCCCCCAACTCCCGTTGCCCCGGCAACAGCGCCTCCCCTAGGCCCCGCCCCTTTCCGCTGACCACGCCCACTTCTCATTAACCCCGCCCCCTTTCCGGCTCCCTTTGTGGCAGGAAGCCGCTGCCGCCCGTGGCTCCCTTTGTGGCAGCCGCCATGGCGGCCGAGCGGGCTCCGCCGGCCCGGGCCCAACCTCCTCCCCCCGGCCCCGCTCCCGGCCCCGCTCCGGGCCCCGCTCCGGGCCCCGAGCCCGCGGCACGAACCGGCCTCAGCTTGCCGGGCATCCTGCACTTCATCCAGCACGAGTGGGCGCGGTTCGAGGCGGAGAAAGGGCGCTGGGAAGCGGAGAGGGCCGAGCTGCAGGTAATGGCGGCGGCGCTGCCCTCATGAGGGGACGGGCGCTGAGGAGAAAGGGCGCTGGGAAGCGGAGAGGGCCGAGCTGCAGGTAATGGCGGCGGCGCTGCCCTCATGAGGGGACGGGCGCTGAGGGGACAGCGGGGGGACGGCGGGGGGACGGC